CGCGCGCGGAATTCAGGATGGAATTTTATTTATGCCGTGACGCATAAATAGAATTTTATCCTGGACGAATATTTAACAAGAATAGTATTTGACGAATCAAAATTCACGCACATATATATATACACATATATATGTATCTAATATACTCCTACTTCAAAAGTGACAACTCAAAAACGAATTATTATGAATGAGTTAAGTAAAACATTACCTTCTTAATATCATCCAAAATGAAATAACTTCATTTAAAAAATTGTAAAAATTGGTGGTTTTCAAAAAGGTTTTTCGAGGGTACTGAAACAAAAATGACATTTTATCATGTTAAGAATATATTTTTTGACGATATTATTTGATTAATAATTAATTTTCTGTTAAATGGAAGAATAATTTCCCTTTCTTTCTGTGAAACTTAATTTTTTGAGTTTTGTATTACTTTTAATGAAAAGGATACCATATATTAAATATAATACATAGAATTTTTTTTTATATGAATGAAATTCTATCTTAAGTTAATTCGAATTATATTATAGATTGTTTAAAACAAGCTTTAAGTGTGTTATAATATATATTACATACAAGGATTTGTATTATACGCATAATGTATCGATAATTTCAGGTCATTTCCCAATCGGTTGTCAGAGCGAGGTCAGGTGGATGTTCGGACATTTGGACAGCGATAGTGATGGCCGACTCTCACTGTCCGAGCTGTATGGTCTGGAACACGACCAGAATGAACCGTGCTTGAAGCCTTTCTTGGATAGTTGTGATACTGACAGGTAAGAGTCATCTGTGAATTCCTATCCCGAAGAGAAACTTTTCGCGATCGTAAATGCATCTAAGGCTTACACTTGGTATTTATATTTCATTGTGTTCTTATCTCAACAATGGATAAACAGCAGATGAGATAAGATCGATCCATAAGTTCAGAGATATACAGATTTATATCTCTAAACGTATTCTTCCAAATCTTTTGAAATTATAAGGAGGTTGTGTGTCAATTTAGAGATATAGAATATAAAAATTTATAGATCCAATGGGATTGATGATATTAAAAAAAAATGATAAAACACAAAAGTATAACGATTTGAAATACAATATAATAAATAAAGCATCTATTAATGTAGAGACACCAGATACAGCTTGGTCTGATCAAACGCGTGATGTTACTACTGTGTCTGAACACACGCGTTTATTAACTTCTCTGAAATAGATATTTTGTATTTTATTATTATTACGTAATATTTTATACATTATATATTACATATATCTTATTATTCTACACATTTTTAATAATACTAATTTAATATACTTATCTTAAAATTGTATATTACAAACATTTTACATATATTGTTCTTACTTATGTGATTATTACTGCTCCTCGAACAATTGTAATATAGAACATTTATATTTAATGCAATAATGATCTAAGCGCTAAACGCACTGTATCTTGAGATAAAACTTTTAAAAATCGATGAAAAAATGGGAGACATACATAAAGCTATATTTCCGATATTATATTTTCAGCGACATTTTTGTGAGCGGTCCTGAATGGTGCGGATGCTTCTCTAAAGCTGAACGTCCGTGTGCCGCTGTGCGTAGACGATCATCGCCGGATTCCGCACCAGCTTGTGATTCGCGGGGATATTACCGTAGTACTCAATGTCATCGGGGTCTTGGTCTCTGTTGGTGTGTCGATCCACATGGCGTCGAGTTTGCTGGTACCAGAACGCGCGGTACAAAGCCTGACTGCGGTATGCTTTATATCAGAACACTTAGATAACAAATATTTGAAATGATAATTAATATTTAAAGCCCTGAAATTATTAAAATAATAAATAGTTTCAGCGCATTAGTGCGTATAAAGTTACGAGAATAAATTAATGAAAAGATTCAGAACCATATGTGCAGATTCGATATTTCGTTATGTATTTAAATTAAATGCAATGTTTGACAGTTCCAGATCGAAATAAAAATATCAAAGATTCAAAAATATCTTTTCTTTGAAGTGATTAATTTTTTTGTATTGAGATTCAGATTGCACGTTTTTCTATAATTTTTGAAATGGAATCTTAATACCATGGGATTAAGTTCAAAGTTCTTGAAATCTTATCTTAAATTTAAAATAAAAAATAAGACTTTTATCATTTTTAAACTGTAATCAGTCGAAATTAATCGCAGTTAAAAAATGATTTCTCTACTTGTTTCGCTAAACAATATTATGTTGGTTTTTGATAAGCGATATTATCACCAACTTTCGATACTATTTCTGTAATATAGAGTAATAGAATTAGGAGACATTATATAATTGAACGTGTAAATAGTATCATATATTCTTTTCACGAAATACACGTTCGTATTCTTGAATTGACTTTTAAACTGCCTTACAGACACGATTGTGAACAAGATCAGTAGCGGTGGGCTCAAAACCAATAGTGTAGATCTTGATGATGACGAGGATGGTGGTACTGACTCCGCTCAGGATCTTGAAGGCTCAGCTGATCAACCTCTAGATTTCTAGACATATTAAAAGCGGCGGTTAGCAACGGAAGCGCAGCATTTTTAACCGAGCATCTTTAAGAGCAGAAAATCGACTGCAGGAAAACCGATTGGGAAGGTGCGCGCGTCCGCCAGCTTTAGAAATACCGTCGAGTTGTGATCAGAGGTGTTCTTCTATGTCATCGTCGGGCCGCCTATCGAACCTATAGAGGTCCACGCACGACAAAACGAAACGTGAGCCTAAATGAGTTCCGAGAGCAACGAAAAAGCACGACGATCATTATAAGTTACGAGAAGGTCGGATTCATAACGAATCGCGCTGCATGGAACCGAAAAAGATCGTTGTTGAATCATCGTAACGACCTTAGTCGCGTCCTTCGTCCCAGTTAGGAAGTTCCGATCGACATTTAAAGTAGCGAGTGTCTTGCCGTGTCGTGCAATAATCGCGTATGTCCAGCGGGGTAAGCGGCGTCTACAGCCCATTCTACGCAATCGTAGATCCCGTGTAATCATAATACCGTGCAATATCCAATAGAGTCCGTGTAGAGAGTACGCAGATATGGCCGAAAGTGTATGTACGTGTGTGAGAATTGCTGGTGACGGAGTGAGAAAGGTAGAAAATTCTGCTGCAAATCGCGCAGAATACCAACTGTTGGATTACCTCCGTGCCTGTCGAGGTATCTCCACGCACAATTAAAAGTATAAATAATATAATTACGTATCATTTATGCATACACAAAACGAAAAAAAAAAAAAACATTCATGAAATAAGGAAGGAAGGACGAGATAATTTCGTCGTATTGACCAGAACTCATCGTGACAAAAATTGCATTTAACAGAAAACCCCTATAAGCGTATGATTTTTAATTGTTAGATTAACAATTATAATATTGAAACATAATGTTAATTACAAATAATACGAATTGCGTGATAACAATGCAGCAACTGAACAAAATCAAACTGGTTGAGAAAAAAGATACGAGAGCGAGGAGAAGAGGCGGGCGGATGTGTGAAGTCATTCTGCTACTGTCACACTTGCACACGTTGAAACTTAGTTGAATCACTCGAAGCAAATAGGTTTCCGTAGCTCTTACTACTTCACTTTCGGCTGTGTTTCGCCGAATGCGGTAATAGAAAATCTCACCGTTGTATTCCGCTTATTTATTATATTCTCTCTGGCAAGCTTAAAGTTCTTTAAGTTATTCTTCTTTTCCTCAACCATTTTATGTTATAAAGTTAGCATAAGACATACAGAATAAAGAAAACCTATTTCGTACTCGTTAATGACCTATTTCATACTACGCAGTTCAATCATAGGACGTCGAGCTGGTTGTTAAAAAAAGTACGAGATCGCTTATAAAAATAACGTGAAATATTATTATCTCTCTATTACACATTGCGCGCAAAGCATTAGAATTCTTTGCAATCGGTACAACATCCATCGTGCAATGCTGAGAGTTGTTTTCTACGAAGCGCTAGAAAATGTTCGACGTCGTGATTCGTCTGCATTTACTGTAATTATAAGCATTTTTACTTACAACTTTTACTTAAAGAGTGTGTGGTACACCGTAGATATTAGAGTAACATGTAATCCGTAGAAAAAAGAAAAAAAAAGATCAGTGTGACTATGTGAATATGCCCTTAGCGTTAGAAGGCAATTTACGTAGAAATAGCCGATGCAAAAACTACACGTGTCTCATTTAGAATGAAAGTGATAATTCATTTTGCAAGCCTAACGCGTTACACACACTTCGACATACATTCCTTCTACAAAGTATTCAGGGAAAATAATACTCGTCGCGTATATTGATCAAAGACAATGCTGTACGTACTGAGGTTTTTAAACTGTTCAACAGAGAATGTACATTTTTTATTATTTTTTTCGATCGATGCGTTTAATTTCGATGGCTCGTGATTGCATGGCAATCTTTGTGATTTCATCGATTATATCGAGTTTTTTTTTATAACAAATTATGCATTTTTATATTTTATTTTTATTCAAAGAATAACTTGATATCATTTTGTCAATTCATCGATAATGTCTTGCCTTAATGGACATGGCGTGTTAAACTTGCGCATTAAAGTATGTAGATGACACTTAAAAAAATATATCTACATATTATTTATAACTGATAAACGACATCGTCCGCAATGAGCTAACGCATATTCCTTCCTGCATCGAGCGCAATTTGCATTCCGCCTGACTTATTGTACTGTCGACCTAGACTAATTAATATAACTACAAGCGAACGTAAAATAGTTTTATCGAGTCTTGCATATTGTATATACGTATATGATTATATACAATGAAAATCATCGTCAGTGATCTTCGTACCATGATGATTTTTGTAAGGTATGCACTTGATCAAAGCGTAAAGAATTTTTACTTCATTCAAGAGCTACCGTAAATATCTCACTTAATCGGTATTGTACATGTGACTGTAAGAATTCTTTATGAATAAAGATTGTTGTAGAAATCGGGGAGATGTTCTTGTATGAGAGCATAGTATAGTAAATATAAAATTTATTTACCATCTTTCATTTTCAGAGATTCAATACAAATTTGTAACAAACAGAAGTGGGGTAGTGTATGGCATTCATATGTGCATGTACATCTTATAAAGCAATTTTTAATAAATTGTAGAAGACACTGGTTCTTAGTAGGCCGTATTTTTGCAGTATAAAAACGTTTTTAGTATTTAAGGACGGCTCTCAAGCTGCAACAGAAATACATCATCTTTACAAAATCCTGATAATCATAAAATAAATCATATATATAATTTTGTGCATTTTTTTTTTAGTAAATACATTCATGTTATATATTCATAGTAAAATTTTCCAAGGCTTACCAGTTTCCTGAATGCAGTATATTAAAACCTTCGTTGATTTTTTCAAATGGAAGATTATGTGTTATAAATTCATCGAGAATCAATTCTTTTGACAGATACTGCTCCACCAATTTTGGCACGCTTTGCTTTGATTTCCATCCGCCAAATGCGGTCCCTTTCCATACTCGTCCTGTGACCAATTGGAATGGTCTAGTACTGATTTCTTGGCCAGCTGCGGCTACTCCTATTATTACCGATGTACCCCATCCTTTATGACAAGATTCTAATGCAGCTCTCTGAAAAATAATCTTTATAAGACAAAATTCTTTTTCTGTAAAAAAAAAAAAAACATCAAAAATAAAATACGTACCATAGTATTTACATTTCCAACACATTCGAAAGTATAATCTAATCCACCATCAGTCATTTCAATTAATACCTGCTGAATGGGTTTATCATAATCCTTGGGATTAATACATTCTGTGCAGCCAAAAGTCTTAGCTGTAAATAAGTATAAAAATATTTATAAAATTTATCACAATAATTATAGGAAAATCTACAAGAATAATTGTAAACCAAATCCCCTTCTTGGCTTTGTCAAAAAGTGAATAAATATTCTATTTTATAGGAAAAAATCTACGAAGAAAAGAAAAAGATTCTTTTCTCACTGCTTATTTCTATAGAAAATTCATTTTAATTATTATACACAATCTCATGACATAATTTACCTTGCTCAAATTTAGCCGGATTGAGATCTACCCCAATAATACGAGATGCACCAGATTTTTTGCAACCAAAGACTGCTGCAAGACCAACAGCTCCTAAACCCCAAATAGCACAAGTGCTTCCTGATTCTACTTTGGCAGTATTTAAAGCTGCGCCATAACCTGTAGATATTCCACAACCCAACAAGCATACCTTGTCCAATGGCGCTTTAGGATTTATCTATAACAATAATTTATAATAATTATATAAAGGTTAAACAATTGAGAACTTTAGTGATTATAAAAGTATATACAAATACCTTTGCGAGAGAAATATCAGCTACAACTGTATATTCGGAGAAGGTGGAGCAGCCCATGAAGTGTGCAAGTGTTTGTCCCTTACATGTAAAACGAGACGTGCCATCAGGCATTAAACCCTTACCCTGAGTTTCACGGATTTTGCTGCATAAATTCGTTTTCGGTGATTTGCAGAACTTACAATCTCCACATTGAGGAATGTAAAGTGGTACAACGTGATCACCTACAATCATTCATATAAACAATAATAGATTAACAAAATATGATATAATACAGCTAAAGAACTATTGAAATTTAACTGATATATAATTTACGATAATTCAAAAGAATCTTTATAAATATATCTGATCAATCTACCAGGCTGAAATTCGGTGACACCCTCTCCGACACTCTCTACAATACCACTGCCTTCATGACCAAGTATACAAGGAAATATCCCTTCTGGATCCAATCCATCTAAAGTATAAGCATCTGTATGACAAAGTGCCACAGCTACTATTTTGATTCGAACTTCATGTGCTTTAGGTGGTGCTACCTCAATTTCTTCCAAGGATAAAGGTTCCTTTTGCTTCCATGCTACTGCAGCCTTGCATTTGATAACCTGAAAATAGCAATAATAAATTTAATATATAAATTTAAGATATAAATTATAACTGTTCAGTTATTGGCTAAATGATTTAGAACTACTAAATATTATTTGTGTCTTCAAACATTAGTTCTTATTGTCTAATTTTCCTCTTCTTGATGGTTTATTTTAAATGTTTTATTATCTTTATAGTTAAATGACAAATTTAACTTAATTTCTCTTAATATTTTGTAAACAAATTAAATCAGTGGATATTGTTAATTACAATAAATAACAAAGAGTAACTCGATTAAATTCAATTAAAAAATGATTTAATATATGTATATACTAATAAGAATAGTTTTATTAATTTTATTAAACTTTCCTTTTTTCAAATGTACTGACATATAAAAAGTAGACTATCAGAGATAATTATCTTGAATAGATGAACAAATTCTTTCAAGAAAAATTTGTTCATTTCCATGTCTCATTAAGTCAATGTAGAAAGAAATCATGTTTATTAATAATCATGAATACTATCTTTGCAGAAATTTCAATTGTATAAAAGTATGTCCAAGATTGTCAAGTCAAACCTTATTATGAGCCAAACATGTATCCACCTTTATTACTGAACTAAATCTCGAGAGGCTCGAGCCGAATCTAAAGACAAGCTTCGAGTTAAATCTCGTGAGCGTCGCGAGCATTTCAGCGATCCATACTGTGATAACTATAGGTAATGAAAAACGAGATCTATAATTTCTATAAGTAACTTCTCTATTGATAACCTCTCTTTTCATGTTTTCTATCTTGTATATTTGTTTATATAAATATATTAACTAAAGTGTTTAATATGTATATATATAAACAGTGTTAAATAATTGTTGTAAAGTAAATTATCTCATATTAACAAGTCTATACTATCCTATCTCATCTTTTCAAATGTGAATTATTAGACTCCAATCCATCCAAAAATAACAACTACGAAATCATTCGCACTTATGTGACACCTCTATTCGATAGAAGATAATTCTTGATGTAACAAAACATTTCAATAAAAGAAGACGGATAACATGTTAAATGACGATCAGTGGTAATCGGCTAATAGTAATTGATGACGTAGAAAAAAAAAAAAAAGAAAAGAAAGAAAAATGAACAAGTTTAGAACGTGCCAAATTCGCAAAAACAAGTGACAATAGTTACCTTTACAGCTGTGTCTGACATTATTTTTTCAAGGTAACCAGGCTGTCTAGCGTCTTGTTTCATTCACTTCGGCGGAGTTGATCCGACAAATGAGGAAACAAATCTTAACTGATTTTTCAATGAAGAACTCAATGTCAGCAGTATGCTTTAATTCGCTCAGACGGAGACAATTGCGACTGCGCGAGCATGGAGATCCCATTCATTTGGTTGTTCAAGTCGCAGCAGACGACGAAAGAATACAAAGTCTTTACGAGTTTTTTGTCTCTGAAATCCGATTCAAGCAACTTTGTCGATTAAGTTATACTTCTCATATTCACGAACAACACTAACATTCTCTTATGTCAAATTTTAAGCGACCAATTGATACGAAAATATCCTCGTCTCCATTAGAATTACATTTGAATTTCTGCTATCACATTCATTTCAGACTTGTTAATTTTTCCTTTAACATGCTATTCATTAGTATAAGATATAATGTTGACTTAATTTGTAATTTATACCACAATTAAAATAATCATTTATACATTTGACTACAATTTTATATATAATATTATCTACTTACGTTTATTGTCACTGTAATAATTAAACTTATTGTTATATCATGAAGTGTTCCAGGGAGCACAATGAATTGAAATTAGACTGTTACTCTGGATCCGAACTAGGATCGAAACGTCTGTACAATTATCATAATAAACACTGTTACAACTTCATACCAACACCAAGTGCAATGACTCAATAAGGCACTATTTCTTTTTGATTTTTATTATTACACGTCTATCAAATTACTATATCTCATTATATTGTTGATTTTTAAATATTGAAAATGAATCACTAGATATGACAATCGAGATAAACGAATTACAGAAATTTGACACGTTTTTTTTTTACTTATTATCTATCTATTATGTAATGTATTTTGATATATCTACATATATATTTAATATACATTTTATACACATTATATATATGTATATGTGTGTGTGTGTGTGTGTATATATATGTGTGTGTTTCAATTTTTCAAGTGTTTTTTGTATGATATATGCAAGTAACATTATTATAAATAGAATACTATTCTGAACTAACGAATTATAAATCATTTAAAGCAACCTTTATGCACAAAATATAGCGTGCTTTATTCTTGTTTTTGCAGATATAAAGGGTGAAAGGCCTAGCCTGATGTAATAAAGTATCGTTACATAAGTTCATTATCAATGTTTGATAATGTATATTGATGCAATTTGCTTTTTCTTAACTACCATTATCTTGCAAAATTTATATACTAAAATTCCAATATGACAACTAATGCTTAAATTTAATTTCGGTTTAATTTATTCTTCATTTTTTACTAATTTTTATTGCTAGAACTAGAAAAAAATGAAGAGTAAGAACAATAAACTCAGATTAGAGTAAACTATCACTGATAAAAGCAAATATAATTCACTCAACAGAATTGTTTGCTGCATACTTTTGACATTTATAATAATAATCATTTTTAGATAATAATTTTATTGCATATATATGCATGTAAGATTGGATCTTGACAAGTTGGATAATTATAAAAAATGTGGAAGGAAAAGATGTATACATGAAAGATGAGATGCTAGGAAACTGCTATATCAAGTATTAGAATATGAATGAGTAGTAAAATAAATCACTCAAAGTATAGTTTACAGAGATTATAAGTATTATTACTATAATTTATATAAAAAATGATTTTCACACGATTATTAAATTACTACCTTGACTCATACATTTACATCACAGATAATGTAATAAATTTATATGAATCAGAAGGTTGTCCCATTAATATACTAAACTACTTCTATCCAGTCCAGTCCACTATATACACATATATTCAGCAAAATGCAACAATCAGTACTGTTCATTTAATAGAACGATTAAAAAAACCTGGAATGTCTTTCTTCTCGTAAATATCCACATTATTGATGGATTTTCCTATGTAGTTTAGGAGTAGGAAGCATCTTGATGAGAGTGATGAAGTGGGAGATGAAGTAGCCAACTAATGCACCTATAACACAAGGAATCGGCCAAGCTTGCCAAGGGCGATCCCAGTCTAGAGGGATAAAAATAGCACCCAGCCAAGTGCCTAACAGTGTCGAGCCTATGTTGAGTTTTATAGCATTCACAAGGATACTGTTCTTCACAGAAGAATGCCTTAGTAAAACGTCCAATGTATTGTCCAGTCCCAGATGTAAAATAGTGGGTACATAAGTCAATGTGACCAGAGTGATAACTAGCGTCATTGTCTCTTCGCACTTACTTAAAATAGGTGCACCGAACAGTATGATTATCATATAGTAAGACAACAATAGACAGAATGCAGTGATCAAAAACTTGATGACGCTCAACAGAATCTTCGACCATGATTTCTTAGTCTTCAGTGAGACTCGTTGCTCGATCTTGATTATAGTAGGCGATTCCGCTTGTAGCATAGGAAACAGCAGCTTTATCACCTCGGCGAACGTTAGTATCATCAGCACGGGTAGGAATTTATACTTGCCGACATTGTACAAATTCTCATTAAACATCAGAAGCGTCAGGATTCCGGGAAGGTAGATGCAGGTGAAGGAGCAATAAGACAACAATAGTCTCTGCTCAGTTTTGTTGTTGACGATCATCTGGCCGTAATTGTAGATTCTGCCAAAGGATTACTTAGTTCCCCGTGTTCGACGATGTCGACCAATTCACATGGCTATGGATACATATTTGAGGTTATGTTGTCAGCTGACATAAATCGATAAATTCCAGATGCCCCGCATGTATATGTACACATAGTTTTCCCTGCTATTTACCTGTATTTACTTACAAAAATTGGAAAGCCGTTGTAAAAATTGTACAAGGAGCTTAGAATAATAAGAAAAAAGAAAGGAATTTTGTGTTCGAGTTTATTATCTATGGTTCAAGAAGTATATGTCATATAACCTGAAAAGATAGGTTGAAGCCTTGATTAAAGGCACTCATCGCTGTCCAGCGATACACACTCGACAGACACTGAACGTCAGGTCCAGCGCAGGGAAAACTCAACAAATTTTCGTCGATCGCTAAACGCTCTTATCTCGTCCTAAGAGTGTTATCATGGGTAAAAATAAGCAACGTACTAAGAACAATGCCCGGGTAAATATCAATTATACGTAATCGCTTGATTATAAATTACGCGTGCAATAATAATTTCATAATATAACCTATCACGTCTTATTGTGTCTGTTTCTTCCGCGTTCTATATTTTGCTTCCAATACTCAAAATTAAATAGATATGATATCAACGTTACAGAAGTAGAGGAAAAAATAAAACGTATAAAAAAAATAAAACAGAATAAATCTACTCATAGATCTACCAACATATGTTTTGTCACCCAGCAATACTTATCTATATCAATTACATGAATGAATAATTTGCTTGTTGTGCTAAGCAAATTATCCTAAATAGATCAAAATTAGATTTTGTAAAGTGTATGCTAGAAATTTTATGCGTCTGCAAAATGTCAGCAAAAATATAATAATAAAATCTGTTAATAAGATGATTGCTGAATTGTCTGTAAAAACTGAGTAGAATTTATTATTTTTTTCGTGACTATTTAAATTATATATTCTGAAATAACAGAGTCTTCTTGGTTTCTGTTTAGCTTTTGTTAGCAAGATTTGCTAGATTATATTGACAAAATATGCAGAATATTAGCTTGGTATAGACTTTCAGGTAATGTCAGTCTGATGCAATATTCTGTAATATTTGAATCTGTTAGTAAACTGCTAGCAGCTATTGCTAATATTTTGCTTACTAATAAGGAGAGAACACAGTTGATTTATCATGGATACTTATCATTTTGATATCCTTTAACATGATGAGTCTACATTAAATTATACTACGTCTGAGAGTTTTATTGAATGACTTAATAATGACTCAATAATGGATATTTTTTTTAAATATATCAAAGATATAAAATTCAAGCATATTGTATATATAGAATATCTGATACATTGTAGCTGAAAAACTGTCCATTATTTAACCTTGTGGCTATGACATCTTTTATTCTTACTATAAGTTGTGAAAACTATTTTGGTAGGATCTAATCTTCCACATGTATAATTGGTTATTTCATAATATATTAAAAACTAATATTTATAAAGCTCATTCAAAATGCTCAAATATGATTCACTACTTACTTTTTTGTATAGATTTACTTTATTGAAAGAGATCAAAATTCATGATGGATCCACTGTGTCCTCTCTTTGTAAATATAATAATTTATATTATTTTGTAATCTTAGTGATATTTATTTTAATACTTAATTATATATAACTTTTAACATTTTTTAGCCATCTAATAGTAGCCGCAGTGCAGAACTTTTAGGGACTGCAATGCCTAATTTTGTTGGGTTCTCAGCAGTTAAAGATGGGGGATATGTTCCTGTTCTACCTGGATTATCTTTATGTTCCATAAACGAGGTTGAGATGAACAGTATAGATTCCAATTTTCAAGTTACATTAAAAAAGATGAGTAAGAAAGATGCTACGACAAGGTTTAAGGTAATTACTTTGTTTAGTTATTGATTTAGTCTTTGATTAATTTACCGATTTTCTAAGGTGTAAACTAATGTATGTATGCAGGCATTGCAAGAATTTACAACTCTATGTCAAGATGCGGAATTGTCAACGGTGGAAGGTATGCTACCGTTTTGGCCAAGATTTTACTGCGCTCTATCCATTGATATAGATCATAGAGTGAGAGAGGCTACACAGTTAGCACATGCAGCTCTTGTCAAGCGTGTAGGCAAAGGTATTGCATTGTATCTGAAACAATTGGCTGGTGCTTGGTTTACCGCTCAATATGACACATATCCTCCAGCGGCATCAGCTGCTATCAATTCTTTCAACAGCACATTTCCACCCTGGAAAATAATTAATGCGATTATTCATTGCCAGTGTGAAATTTTGTTATACATTAGCAACAATGTAATTATGCACACAGCTCAAACGTTATCGACGCAGAAATCTCTTACTAAAGAAGAAATGGAAGCTATATATGAAAGAGTACTGACGGCAAATCTCTATGGATATAATGGTTACTTCAAGAAAGTGCCGCTTGATGAAATCGATAAAACCTTGGAGATTCACGACAAAATTTTAAGCAGTTCGAGGTTTTGGAAACTGGCTAAACACGATTCTTTGCCAATAAAAACAGCTTTTTTCAATGTGTTAACATCGATAATGGAAAACGCGGAAAAGTTATTAGAAAATGAAAAGAAAAGGACAGTGACCACTATCATGAATAGTCTTGATGAATCTGAACCTGCAATTTTATCGGTTGTGTGGGAATCGATGCTCACAGCTACAACGAAAATTGATGATTGGCATCTTGTCGTAAATATTAATAAACTCGTACTCCCAAAATTGTGGCACACATTACGATCCGGCGGTCAGTGTTGTGCTAGCACTGTTTACCCAAATCTGTTACCCTTTGTCAGTCAATTTCCAAAGTTTAATGTAGATCTAACTGATCTGTATACGAATTTCTTTAATAATATGCGCCAAGGATTTTCCGTCAAAAGTGTGCAAATGAGCCGTTCAGAAACGCTCGCTGTAACAACATCTTTCATTGAATGTTTACGTTATTCAATTCTCATAAATACCGAAAGTGTAGATTTATGCATTCGGCTTCTCAAGGAACAGCTTATGCCTGTTATAGAAACTTGTATGATGGATAGTACTTTTATGAAACAATGTTGTTTTGTCGAGATTACGCATTTAATACGGTATTGGAGTAAAAATCGTACTAATGAAAAATACAAGTCGTACGTTTCTTTAATGGAACAGTTCTGGATTGAATTGTTATTATTGTTTGAAAAATATATGAATATGTTAAAGGGGATCACATATACTGCAGATGAAAAAGATTCTCACATCGAATTCTTGTTAAATTTAAAAAATATACCAGATCGCACCCGTAAGAAATTGAAAGTAAAATTTTCCGACCCAAGTGATTCGGTTACTATTAATACGAACGAACCAAAAGTAAAAGTTGTCGATGTTTATGCAGATACTGTTTTTAATGCGGAACTTTGCAGATTTGTAAATATACTCTGTACAACTTACTTTAATTCGATAAATGTGTCGATAAACGATCATCAAAATATGGAATATATCGGACAACTGAATAAGCTTATGAAACATTTTGCAAGTAGAGAATTATTCATTGCATTTTCAAAATTATTTAAATTTGATGAGAACTTCTTTGAATTCTATGATAAGAGCTTGAAACCTTTATTGATGCAAAAATCAAAAATAGCTGAACAAATTCTTGAATTATTATTCTATTTTATTACATATATAAGTGACGCAGAAAAGGATACAGTTCTAAAATCATTAATCGAGTTAAACGATATTGCAGTAGTAAGGAATGTCATATATTTCTGTTTTTCTGAATACAGCAGAAACGATAGAGTAATTAAAAAATGGTATATGCAAGCTAATATACCTAAAATATTAGTTGACATAACCAAAGAAATTGCTTCTTGCAGTGACGAACAGTATGATTTCGAAAAAGATCAAAATTTGATTTTATTAGCTTTTGAAATTCCGGAAATTATAAATTTATTAATAAATAACAATGGAACAAATGAAATTGTATCGATTTTATGCGATTCATTAAATGGAAGAGACGATATTTGCTCCATGCAATTTATCGTGTTTATTACGAAACTGATGACTTTAATGTGGAAACATAGTCAAACGATATCAAGTGCTGTACAAATATTGGAAACACTTTTTGAATTATGCACTCGAGAACATGATGCTGTTGATACTATGTATAATTATTGGAAAGCAGGACTCGTAGAAAGTAGTCAAATATTGTCTACCTTTGAATTTAATGATTTTATTAAAAGATGCGGAATTATTATCTGGAGTAAGATATATAATATAAATGCAAATCCTGTTAATAATATATTAGTTAATTTGGCAACAGATATTTTAGAAGTTATAATTAATAATATCGACAAATTTGATTGCATTGAAGAAACTATTCTGTTATTCCTAACGGCATCTGACATAAAGTTATGGATTGAAGAGACAACTATCATCGCAATATATGGTGAAATGTTAACTGGCCGTTTATATATGTCAAATGTTGAGAAGAAAATACAGATTTTACAGCAACCTACAACTATTAATATAACAAACGATATCGCTTTGAATAATATGACAAATTGCTTATCATGGGCTTTATTTATCACAGATTTGCTTAATAATCTGTACAAAAGAGGCTTTGATTCAGAAGATACAGTTTCAGAAGAAAATTTTGAATCAAACGATTTACCAGGAATAACGGAGACATTAATACAGATCATATATGTAGTTAGCATAGCAGACATATACAGTAAGCATTATAAATCTACTGAATATTATTATGATGTTGAAAAACTTCGTGATTCGCTAAAAAACAATTTTGTTAATTTGCATAAATATTTTGCAAAAAATATACGTGATGATGTATTATCACGTATACGAACAAATCAGAAAAGTTACGGATGTATGTTACCATACATAATTTATACATATTACAATGAATTTTTTTCAAAAGATGATGTTGAGAATATCATGAAATATTTTGAAAATTACAACAGTAATACAATTGCAGGAGAATATGATGATGAAACGCATATTCAAATATTACAAATCTTAAATTGGCCACAAAATATTTCACAAATTTTAACAAAATTAACACGAGATGAAATTTATTCAATAATTGCCATAAGAACGATGTTATCTGACACTCTCAAACATCAACCTCCTTCATCAAATGATTCTGTTATTGATCATATAATTATGTTACATTTTAATGAACTTTTTGCAGTTTTGGATTATGATATTTCTGATATTTCATGGGATAAATTGTGTTTGCAACTAGAAGTTATAAGACTGTTTGCGACAATTGTCCAACATATTCCACAGAAATTAAAACAAGTGTATTGGGACGTTATCTTGATATTTCTCACAAAGTGGCAACAGTTGTATAACAAAGCCAAACATCATCATAGTGATATTAAAATGACAATGTTGATAATAGCATTTAGTCAATTATATTACGCAGTTGAAACTCTAATGAACAAACATAAATTGAAGCCATTACCAGAATTACCTTCAACACTCTTGGATGAATGGAAAAATGTTATTGTTGGCAATATATATAATGGCATTGTTCGAACTTGGACATTTTATGCAAATTTATGCAATCAGAATACGGATCAAAACATAAAATTTATCATACCATTGAATTACTTGGGAAAAGCAATTTGTACATTTGACAGCAGCGTATTATTCAAGAACGATGATGAACAAACCGAAACGATTAATTTCAATGAGATGTTAACGCTATCTCTGAAATTACTACAATCTTCGGTTCGTAGCATTCAATTGGGTGCCTATTATATATTGAAATATATGGTATCGGAACTTGTACAACATGATAAAATTCTTGTTGAATCTGACAACTTCGAGTCGAGCAATCTCAATATTAAAAAATTTGAAGAAGTACTATTAAATATACAAACTATTGTAAATACAATGCTTATGGAATTTAAGTAAGTATCCGATTTATATTAAATTTTAATCGAATGCATCATATTTCCTAATCACTTATTAATTTCATCTTTTTTTAGATTATATGACACAATTACCTGCACAATTCAACCGTTTACAGATTCTTACACATATACATTAGGATATCTACTAACATGGGCAATTGTATTAGACATCTGCGAAAAGTCTGATAGTGATTTACGATATCATTATGCTGAAATATTGAAGTAATTATGATGCGCATTATCTATTTCTGTGATATTACTTATAACATTAAAAAATTTTAACGATTATATTTTTTACTAATTATTATATACTATAAATTTTAGAATTAAACTTTTTCCTTGTCTGTTGGATAATATCTTCAAGTTAATACCTATGGAAGCACTACAAGATAATAGAACTGTAAAACTGCTAGAACTATTTACCACCGCTCCAGTTTTTTGTTTCAAAGGTACTATTAAAATTAATATTACATTTACATAAAATTAAATTTATTATATATAGTGTTTTATTATATCAGAAATATGTGTGTGCGTGTATATATTATAGAAAGTTGGACAGAAGAGAGATTAGGTCATATTGTGTGTTGGTTATATACAAATTGTTTACGGCTTCTACCAGTATTGGTTAGACAATGGCTAAGTACAGTTGATAGCAGAGTCAATACAACAATAGACAAGATTACAAGTCATTATGTTAGTCCTATGTTATGTGAAAAGGAGCTTTTTTATAGCAGATTACAATTGGCTAATGTTGAAAATATGCAGGTAATTACATTTTTTTCTCTCACAAATCTTGCTTTGTCCATATACAAATCTTAAAGATTTATGATTATTTTCAAGTTTAATATCGTATGTTGCTACAGATAAAAGTGCACTCAACAGCAAGGGAAGTAGTAGCTGCGTACCAAATGGAAGATACAAAATTGGAATTAAGCATAGTGCTACCACCAAACTATCCTTTAGGTAAAATAAAAATAGAATCTGGTCAACAAATAGATGGTACGGCAAAATGGAAAAATAGTCTTATGCAACTGGCTAAATTTCTCACACATCAAGTAAGTGGCAATATGTTTATATGTCGTATATCTAAAGAAATATGTGTTTCAAGTATATTTTTATAGAATGGCTCCGTTTGGGACGGTCTTTTAATGTGGAAACGCAATTTGGATAAGAAATTTGCCGGTGTCGAAGAGTGTTATATATGCTTTAGCATTTTTCACATCAATACATATCAAGTACCAAAATTCTCATGTCATACTTGTCGTAAGAAGTTTCATACTCGCTGTTTGGTGAGCGTACATTATTTATTAGCATTTTTAATATGTAGATATATATAAAATGGCATATTATCTTTCTGTATATATTATATAATTTTTCTCTTTATTTCAGTACAAATGGTTCAACACAAGTCAAAAATCTACCTGTCCAATTTGCAGAAACGTATTTTAATAGTTTGAAAAGATTTTTTTTGTTACATATAAGAACAAAATATCTATAATATAAAAACGAAGTAAAAACATTACAGTGAAAGAAAAGGAGAAATTACGCGAAACAAATATATGTAGATATTATAAAATTAATTTAAGAACTGATCGTATAATGTGATTTAATGTAGCATACAACAAACTATAAGACAATACAATTGCATGGAGAAATAATTGCATAACTCATTACACATTCGAACATTTGCAAAAAAAAGAGAATTCTCATTTTATTTATTACTGTTTTTCACGATGACAAAATTCTATTGATTTTTCCATTTTTAAGTTAATATAATCTACACTGATTGCGTATATATAATCTTCATTCTAATAAAAATATGAAAATACAGTATTCTATTTAAGATATATAGGCGCGCGCGCATGTGTGTACTCATACAAAATAAAAAATAATTTATTTGTGTGTATATATACATATATATACACACACACACACAAATAAAATTATTTTTTTAAGTTATAAAGAAAAGTATCTTCATTGTATAAATATGTAAAAAAATTATTGTTTAAGATATATATATATATGTATGTATGTATGTATATTTAACAAAATTATTTTTTAAGCTGTAAAAAAAAGAAATTTTGTGTTTTTGTTATCACAGAAATTACTTAATGAAAAATAAATATAACGATAAAGATATATTTTTAATAATTGTTTATTTGTTCTGCATTTTAGAATTGAATTTATAATAAGTCATCTATCTTATGGCGTTTTCGACCCAACGTGGACATTGAACTATGTAGCCAATGTCTACGATCGTGTCGGTAATGTCCACAAATTTTTGGTTCAAATCTTTCCTATGTCCATGATTTTTTGGTTCAAATCTTCCCTATATGTCCATGATTATCGATCCGTTAGACAAAAAATCGTGGACATTACCGACACGATCGTAGACATTGCGGCTATATAGTTCAATGTTTTGTGGACATAAGTTAACAGCTAATAAATCCCGGGCGTGGCCGCTCTCAGGCTTGTTTTTATTCTCACAAAATGGGCCTCCATGTAATATAGCGGAGTAAGGCGAGAAACACACACTTTTGCATAACGCATAAAGCATGTGCATAAGGAATTTCATTGGCCCATTTTCTTATGCATGAGTCAATGGACCAATCAAATTCTTTATGTATATGGTTTATGCGTTATGCAAAAGTCTGTGCTCCCCGCTTAAGAATATACGTAATGTTTAACGGTTTACTTAATGTACGTAATGTTTTATTTAATGTATGTAAATGATTTATTTGGTATTAAAAAAATGTTTTATCGACATCGATCAAATTTGGCCAGTGCAGTAGTGCACCAGTATCCTCTTAAGGGTCGACAGGAGTGACAGAAATATTTTTGTTATGCCTTTTTACAAAAAAATAGCTCTGTACGAGTCTTCAGGAGCCTTTTTTGATTACGAATATCACAATCAAAACACGATTCATGTTGTATTTTAGCCATAATTTGGGAATAAAGGTAACATTTATGAGTGCAGATCAGTGCAGATCTAGATCAGTAGTTGTGCTCATTTTTCTTCTCAAAGAAATAAAATTTCCTTATGAAACCTGTTGGGATTTCATTGTTATATTGCTGGGAAGGCTCGTACAGATTTGCAAATTAATTCTTGAAAATTTTTATTAAAATAAGATCACACCTCTCAACTGCACCATAGTACACATCGAGTGAGATAACAGAACAAATTTTTATTATGCCTTTTTTACAAAAAAATAGTACGAGCCTGCAGGAGCCTTTCCTGATTACGAATATTGCAATTAAAACGTGATCCATCCAGTATTTTAGCCATAATTTGGGAATAAAAAATTCATCTTCGACTAGAGGTCTCTGGGTCACTCCTGTCGACCCCTTAATCATAAAAACCTAAAATTCCGCCAACAGAATATACAGATTTCGGTTAAGGGTCTGCGCACAATAGGAGAAATATTAGGAACAGATATTAAATATAAGAATTTTAACCTATCAGAATTGTGTACTGTGGAATGTGCGCTTTCTGACAGGTTAAAATTCTTATATTTAATATCTGTTCCTAATATTTCTCCTATTGTGCGTAGACCCTAAGACTGGTAGTCCTATTGGCTGAATTTTAGGATTTTAGGAACCGAACATAAACCAAGAATTAAATACATATAATACATGTCTACGAAACATAAAATTAGCACTATATTAGTTTCTTACTCTTAATTGAATTTTAATGAGTGCTAATTCCCGTAAAAATGTCGTTCTTTAACAATAATTAATATCTCATCGGTGACTCGGGTTTGTCAATGTCAAGATCGATATATGTATATAAATGCATGACGTTAGTATAATATCATAGCACCCTGTAGTAGTATCCAACCCATCGAAGTGTTAGTGCAACAGTGGAATAGTTCTTACTACGAGTTATCTCTGAGTACACAGTAATTATTTAAAAAAGAGAAGTGCGTGTCACTCAACGTAGAACTTTATGATATATATAATACGTCATTATTAAAAATAAACTTTGTACAATGCGGCGAATGCCTCTAACGACAAGATTCCAATTTGCGATTGATTCCTGAATAAATTAATGACACATGAATGATGTATCATAGAAGAGAAAACGTAAAATGTAATATTTCTTGCTGAGTAATCAGACACACTATGCAGTGACTCTGCAAGAATTAATTTTTTTTGTCAATAGAATCAACGTAACCTAAAAATATATAGCACAATAATAATTACAAAATTTAAGTTTCACATTAAATTTCTTCTTTGTGCTGCATCTCATCACAAATAATTAATTGAAAAACTTTGATTTTGTAAATTTATGTTACATATTTTTATCAGCAGAATGCCAGTAAACAATAGATTATGCCAAGAATACATTAAATGTGACGATGATATACTTATTTTATTTAAAAATAACTTTTAAGATAATATAGATTGCTCGCGATCTCTTTCTGTTGGATACAAGAGATATTAGATTATATTAGTAGTAGACTGACAGATAAACAGAGTTTAATGCAAATGTAATTTTAATCAATTTATTGTAGAACTCTGGCATACTGCTAACATTTTGCTTATTGATTACTTACTACATTCTCTACATTAAAGTAAAATATCTATAATTAAATGTTCGAAAGAAAAATAGAAGAGATAAAAATATCAGGAATAGAAAAATAAAATAAGTTATCATAATGTATAGAGAATTGCAGAGTATTGAGTAATTGTACTGTAAAATGTTAATTATTTTTACTTATTTTAAAATTTCATATTTTTTGTTATAACAATTGAAATAATCATATATTATTGATCCAATAAAATATTCCGTTAATTATTATAATATCTACAACGAGCGTACTATTTTATATTTTGCAGATATCATATCTTTTTCATTTCTGCATTATCATGAGATGCGATATGTTCATTAATTCCAATTTTTATCAAGTGGTTTTTTTGCAAAGCACTTACTTTTTAATCTGTATAATCAGAATTTATATTATGCTGAATTGTGAATTTTTATTATCATGCAAAGATTTAATAAATGCCTAATCAGTGAACTCAATTTTTATATAATTACTTCTTTTGAATATATTCGGTTGTATTTCACGTACAATTAATTAAATTAATTAGAAATGCATAGTTTCAGAAATAAGAGACTTCAATTATTTATGAGACCCTAACAATTTGCTAATGATATTTTAGTAATAATTTTAAGCACTAAAGTTTTGACTATCAAGATTATTTTTGAACGAAATGGAAAGAAATATTATTAATGATGCAATTTTTAATATAGCATTAAATTGTCTAAAATCTGGATAAAAGAATTAAAAAAGAAATTTTTTCAATGTTTTTTAAATAAATTATTAAAAGGAAAATATTTCTTTTCAGCATTGTTTTATAAAACAGTCAAATGATTAAAATTGATTACTTTTTGGTATACAAATTTTTATAAAAGTAACATCGACGTTTTAAATTTTGAAAGATCTAGCTCGAAAATACTTCGTAAAATAATTTTGTATAAAAACTAGAAAATAAGTTTAGATATCTCGTAATTTCATTCTATTAACATATCAATTATTTTTCTTTATAGAATGCTGTCAGGACAGTTTATTTGTAATACTCAATTGCGTGTAACACGATATTTCAGTCGTAGCAGTATTTTAAGAGAAATTAATAAAGTAGATAAAATTCCTGCACAAAAAAACAATGAAATTGCAAAAGAAGATGTTATAGGTAAAAAAATAAAATAAATACTTTCTATATATAGTATAAATTAGTATTTAATAAGATAAATAGAACAGATTAATCTTCAAGAATTATTACTTAAAAGTTTATTATCAGTAATTTGTAAATTCTTACTTAATTTGCGATTTAATTCTGAAAAAAAAAAAAAAAAAATGTGCTACACAAATTTAAAAAAAATAAAAAACACATAGAAATATAATTTTTTATGCATGTACACATTTTAGGTTTACGCATGCATCGTGTAACTAATTTTGACAAAAGATTACTTGTTTGGGTAAAACGATATCCGAGCATTGCAGATGTTCCCAAGGATGTTACGTATGTATTACTATATTTATACCATAAAAGACCGTTTAACAAAAAAATAGAAATTTAATACGTAAATTTCAATATATTTGAAATTGATTTATGATATTATTGTTGTAGTAAATTCTGGATTGAAAAAATATATTTATAACATTTTTCATATTTCATGTGTGAGATGAGATTAATTTATTTTATATTGTTTAATAAATAAATGTTTTCTTAAACAGAGTGGACTGTATACTCAATGCGAGAAGTAAAGCACGAATCAAGACGTGTAATTATATGATCGTTTTTGCCATAATTGGTTTCATAGGTGCTGTAATACTTGGAAAAGAAGATGCAAAAAAAGGAAAAAATTTATTTCAGCAAAGAGAAGAGTGGTTCAAAAAAATGAACATAGAAGATAAAAAATAGATATGTAAATACTAGGAAAATTTAGAAGTCTTTAGGACTAATTTTCTGAAAAGTATAAACGGATATTATAAAACAATTATTATTTTAAAATAAGATTTCCACAAAATATTTTTTTAGCAATAATAGAGATATTATATGTAGCAATAAATATTTAATTTTTATCATTTTAATGATTTATATTTGTAATATACAAGGCTATTCTTTCAAATCTTTCGTTGTAATAAAACAGTAAATTACCATTCTATGTACATACAAATATCTATTGTAAAATTAAGTATTTTATTTACATTTAGATCGAGATATATATATATATATATACTGTAATCTGTATGTAATGAATGTCCAATTCTCATTAGATTTAGTAAGTATTTTGACTGCTACAATATTTAAATATACAAGTTCTATAATTTGTGTAGTTTTAATTATCCTTGTACATAATGAACAATAAATTCTTGTGAGAGAATCAGTGTGTGTGTATATATATATATTTTTTGTACATTATCATAAAATAACAATGATTCAAAAGACAAACAACTTGCTGCCAGCAATGTTTACAAAATTATTATATATGTAAAATATATAACTATATTGTAACAATTCAATAATAGTGTTCAAATAATCATATACCAATATCTTCAGATTATTCGGAAATTCTATGTGCTTATACGTAATGGTTTGTAGAATCCACGGCACCTCTCATAATACACTTGTATTGTACGTTTTTTCACAACTTCCTCTATATTAAGCTCAGATTGTAGCAGCCTCAATTTGGTCTGTTCATTTCGCAAATTTTTTATCAACGTTGGATTTTCATTACCATTCTTCTCTCTCAAATCTTTCAACTGTATCACTTTCTGCTTAGTGATATCCACACATCTTGTGATCGCTTGTGTCCTCTGTTTGTGCTCGGATTCTATTTGCTGGAACAAGTCTTTACACTGCGTGGTAGGATCCATCTGGCCCTTGAAGGATTCGGTAGGAATTGTAGTGTTTAGCATGTAAATTATTTTATCATCTATTTGTCGCATCCTTCTTAACATATCCTGAAATACACATTGTATTTATTACTTATGTATTTATACATATATAATCTGAATAAAATTATGAATTGGTATTTTTAAAAAATAAGATATGAAAGTATACGTAGAAATATAAATAATATGTAGTTGAACTTATACGTATTATATATATAGATATATATCTTTTCATTACACTTATTATTGTTAGCTAACCTCGCGTACATACATGTTCTAAGTTCCTAACCTCTGAATAAAGCCGCCCATGTATAAACACGTCTAGAAAAAGACGTGACTTTAATAATAATAATAACATTGACATTCTATGCATTATTATTTTTAAATAATTTTTTATGTAGCACAGCATACTATTGTAACATATAAATACGCGTGTAAGATGATAGCTACTAGCCGGCACCTCTCAATTATAAAGAGTTTTAATATTTCACTTTAAATTAACTTAAATAATATTAAATGTATGTGTGTTCGATATACTTGTATAATGCGGTGTGCGAACACACAAGTATTATGTAAGCCCCGCTTTAGAAAATACCTGAAATTCTAAAAAATCGCTACACTCCATACTCGTGGCTTCCATTTTTTAGGTTGGAAAGTTGCACGGG